AACCTTGATTCTATCCAGTGTTATTTTGATTTGCTCTTTATCAGTCAAGGAGTTTACCATTCTCCTTTGGTTGCTACGTAAGTCATTATATTTCTGTTCCAAGACTCTTTTGATAACATCCCTTGTTTTTTTTTGCCTTTGTATTCTGACAAGCAATTTTTAGGCCTTCTATTGCATCCTGTATATCCTTTTTTAATAGTTCCCATGGAATTTAAGAAATATTATATTGGAACAATAGTTTTCGATCTGATAATTAGGACTAAAGGTGGTGTTGTGTTTCTTGATTGCCATGCTAAGGGCTTGCAATTTGATTGGGTCATGTGTACTTTCCATCTTCTTAAAGAGTGTGAATAGTTGGAGGACCCTTCAATACTTGATGAATTCTGGCCCATGCCTATGATGTTTTTCTTGGGAAGTAGATAGCTTTTTGATCGTAAGCTTGTTATATACTACCCTGCATATTTGTTCTTCAAATTTTTTCCAGATCTTGTTTGCTTGAGCTTCTCTTTTATCATTTTCAGGCTCTTCTTTAAACAATGAATCTATTGCTGTTTTGAGTTTGTGATTCAGGCTTTTACTGAATGCCTTCCACTGTTCAGGTGTTGATTCTTTTATATCTATTCTTCATTCACTCTTTGTGGGAGACTTGTTTTTGATATCTCTTGTGAAGAGATTAGTATCATGCATTGTTAGTACTAGCATAGTATAATCACTCCCTGTTGATTCCTTCATACTTTGGTTGTCGAATCTAAGTATTGGATAGTTTGTAAGGTTTTGAGATATCTATATATAATTAATCCAATTACTGCTAATAGCATTCTATCTTGTTGGGGTTTTATCTTTTCCTTCCCATATAGCCTGTATGCCAAGGAAGGACCATTCATCTAAAAAGTTGAATAGCAGTATTTCTAGATGCCAAGATGGTTTAAATTTAGCTCTAGATATTGATACCCTGTCTTCTGTAGGATTGTATGCAGCATTAAAGTCTCCCATTACTATTATATGAAAGTCTTGTATGTTATTTTTTTTAACAAAGCTTTGCACTTTCTTCTGTACCTTTATGCTTCATTATTTGTCTGAAGGAATATAGATCTGAATAATACATATTTTGTTTCGTTTTATGAATATATTAACTGCTATCATGTCTTCTTCTGCCTCTTCTACTGAAGCTACTTTCCTTTCCAGATCTTTTCTTATCAAGAGGCTAACTTTTGCACCATATGGAGTGTCTTTATTGGTACTATGAAAATGCTTGAAGGTTGTTTGCTTCTGAAAGGCCCATTTTGCCTTTGCATTGATTAGTTTTGTTTCGTATAGCCCCATTATTCCAATGCCTTGTTCCTGCATTTCTTCTATTAGACTATACTGGTTTGTACTATAAGTAATGTCTCTAATATTGTATGTCCCTATTCTAATTACCCTTTTCTGTATATTTTCCTCGTTTGTTTCTTCAACTTGTTGATCCTTTCTATTTCTCTTTAGAAATTTATCTTTTTCTATTTGCAGGAAGGTATCAAGATCTTGATCACTCTGCTGCCCTCTACTATTGTTCTTATCTATTTGTCATACTTTGCCCTTGTTTTGTGTTTTTGACTTGAGAATGGCGGGCTAACATTCCCTCTCTTTCTGTAATTGGACTGGTGTACCCTTTTAGGAGCGGTTGACCCTCTTTTTGAGTGGATCTTTTTCTAATTTGTCTAATCGTTTGCTAAGCTTCTCCAATATTTTGCTTAACTGAGCTACCTCTGACTCTTGCTTTACAGTTGATCTTTGGTCTCTTGTTTCACGTCTTGTTGTTTGCCTTCAATGCCGCCTAGTATCTGAAACTTTATCATCTGTTTCTGAGAAATATTGTGAAGCCTGATAGGAAACTTGGTTTGCTTCTGGATATCTTCGCCTCCTTAGTGGCTCCCTATTGCTACCAGTTGCTGATGATATGGGTCTTATTGTACTTCTCCTGTTTTCTGATCGACTATTGTTTCTCTGAGTCTTGCTGTTGATATAACTTCTTTTTCGGTTTCCATGCTATCTTTATTATTTATTCCATCTTCACTTGCTCTATCTTGGCTTCTAGGATCTTGTTCTCTTGTTTCTTTAATTATTATATATGCATTGCTTGACCTAGCTGGATCAGCTAATGCCTTGTGATAATAATGATTTTTTGCACTCTATCCTAGCCCTTGATTGTTGATCTTTATTTGATGCTGGAGTGCCTCTCTTAGATCTTTTTCATTCTCAAAGTACACTACTGCATAGTTTTCTGATAC